GGCCCCCTGGTCCGGCCCCGGCGACCCTCTAGCCACCCCCGGAAGGGATGCCCGGCTCTGGGGCTGGCGAGGGCCGCGCCATCTACCCAGCCGCGCCGGACCCACTCCTGGGCAGCCCGAGAACACCTGGTTGCTCCGGGATCCCTGCCCTCGCCTCGCTACTTGGTTGGCCGTGGGGGGAACGGGCGGCTTCCATCTTTCAGACGCGGCGACGGCGGCGGCGGGACCCTCCCCCCATCTTGGTGTGTGGCGGTAAACTCAGATCCTCCGCCGCCATCACTCCTTTCCATACGCCAGGCCTTTGCCTTGAGAAGGTCGCGTCGGAAGGAAGCCTAGGAAGTGGACTCCCCTCCGTCAGAGCCCTGGAAGCGGCGTAGTCACAGGCCGGCCGGCCGCTCCGCTCCGCTCTGAAGGCGCGTCTCACACGTTCCGCGCGAAGAACCCGCCACGCCATCCTCAAAGGGCGCCGTTTGAAATCAGGCCTTCTTGGAAGTCCCCAAGACTCACCTTGCAGGAAGGAGGCGGCTGCGGATCGCCACAGGCCGAGTTTCCTCCCGGGAAAGGGCGCAACCGGCCTCAAGGTCCGGCCTAGGGGCTGCCGGTTGGGCCGCCGAGGCGGTCCAAAGGGACAGGAAGGAGGGGAAGGAAAACCGCTCTCGGGGACTTTTGTAGTACCAAGCCCAAGTAAGTCCCACTTAGCTGGACGCTCCGTAGAAACGGGGCGGGGGGGGGGATTTTATCCATCAATCCGTATTTTGACTACCCCAGATTTTCTTAAGAAAATGCATTAAAACGCACGCATGCCTGCATTTCTATTTCCTTCTGTCAAAGACAGAATTTAACCACGCTTATTCTGCGATATATTTACGATTCCAACTGCCTCCCGGAATAACTTTGTATTTTGTGTTTTTACGTTTACTGTGCATAAAAGCGATTTCATATCGATTGCAAAACGAAGTAAGGTGTTTTTCACCTCCGAGAAACGTTCAGGAAACGAAGGAAGGTGAGGGGCCTACGGCGAATCAATAAACTCCTCGCCATTTGCTCCTCAACGCGTTTTTTCGTCCTTTCCCAGGTAACGGGTAGTAGCAGGAGGCGAAATGGGACTCAGCTTCTCCCCCGCCCCCCTTTGCTTAGATCCATCCTTCCCGCCCCTCCGTTTCTCCAGCAGAAAGTCTCTGGTTCACAAGCAGCTGCGACTCTTCGCATGGAATATTTCCTGGGATGACACCAATCAGAGTGGCGCTTCTCTCCGTCTCTCGCCTGCCCACTTCGGGGGTCCTGGAGGCTCCGACAGCGAGGCAGGGTGCCTTTCAGCAGAGCCTCCGTGGTGAAATGCCACCGCCGCCGCCGCCGCCCAACGGTCCCTTTGCCCCGTGCCTCGGCTGGCTGTCCTCCTAGCCTACGGAGGGGTGGCCGGGCCGGTCTCGGTGCCCAGCGATGTGCCCCTTGTGCTCGGATCAAGGGGGCCATTCACACGGCTGGGCGACGCAGCGGAGGGTGGCGAGAGCGGTCCTCCTGCCTTGACACGGGCCAGGAAGCCTCTTCGCGGAAACCGGATCTTGGGGACGCGCGCAGTCCACAAATTCACACGCGCACCGAGACACGTTTCTTTGGCCTCCACCAATCACCCTTTGAGCCCGTATTGCTCGGCCCCAGTGCAGTTGCGGCAGCGGCAGCCGAAGCGGTAGGTCGGCGAAAGAATTCTCCCTCCTCCGGGTCGGGGCGGAGCTGGAGCCCGGAGGGAGCAGAGGCGTGCCGGGAGGGGGACCCTGTCCGGGACGCAGGTGAACGGCAGGTTTCCTCCTCTCCACCAAGTTGCGGGGGCAACGGAGATTGTTCCAAGCGGCACCTACAGAGGGCGTTGGGCGGTTTGCTTGTTCTCAGATCTCGGGAAAAGTTTCAAACTAAACCGGGTTCTAAATGAATCTCCTGCCCAGGAGCTTCAGTAATCCCACCCCCCTCCCGGAGTTGAGCCATCCCTTTTTTTACTTTTAGGCGTTTGTCTGAGCGAGGCACCAAAAACAAACACCCTCCTTCCCTCCCCAACCCGAGATCTTCTCCAAACCTCTATTTCAAGGACCCCGGTCTCCTCTGAGCCTGTGACAGAAAATGAAATTAGTCGGTCACTGCAGCTCTCCCCTGCTTTTCCACCGGGCATAGCCTTTGCAGTCTACGGGGAAATACAGGGATCGCTAGGACTTATCTGGCCAAAACTCACCAGCCGATGCCTGCCACTGAACCTCGGCAACTGCTTCTGGCCTCAGCTGATCAACCTCGGTCCAAGCCGCCACCGCGGTTTCCGCCTCCTGCCTCGGCTGCCCCACTTCGGGCCTCTTGCCCGGCGAGCCCTGGCTGAGCCGAACGCGCTTCCCATCCCGAACCACCCCGCTTCGCCCTTGGCGCGCCCCGACCCGCAGCGGCCGAGCTTGTGTGTTGAAGACGGTCGCTCTGACGGTGGCAGGGAGAAAGCTATTGCGCAACGAGGCCGAGGGAGCCTCTCGTGCGGGTCTCCCCAGCCAAGAAGGAAATGGATCGAAATGTGTGCTGGGGTACAGGCAAACGTGGAGGAAAGGGTCACGCTTCTTTAAGGAATGCTGGATTTGGAATCGAAGCAAGTGGGTGGGCTGCTTTCGCTAAAACTGCAGAAATTCCCTGGAAGTATTTCTTGAAATTAAAATCGGTTACACCTTTATCAAAAGCACTCCAACATGGGATTGAAAAAAGAAACACCAACCTTTGGAAGCGATTTGGTAGGGAATCCATCTCTACTGATGGAAAAGTATAGAAGTTGCTGTGTAAATACCCACCCCCTCTTAGGAGCCTCTAATCTCGGCTCACCTCCCCAAATTGTCACCTCTTCCTGAGCAGGACTTCCTGGAGGAATTGCTTTGTCAACAGTCCAATCCACCCAACAATTTCTATCAGCCGGAGGGCGGGGGTGGGTGGGGGAGCGACGACGACGCTAATTCCTCAAGCAGGATCCCTGAACCCGTTTCTCCTGGCTCCCTCCTTCCCAAACAGATGGAACGACGGGATTTCAATCACTAT